ACTTTATAATAAAAGGAAAATACCTTCACACCAGCTATTTCGATCATAAACATGGCTGCTCCCAGAACATGGCCTGCGTGGTAACACCAGAATTTGATTCCTGCCACCTCTTTCACTTCATGGAAGTTGATGGTCTCAATCTTGTCCATGCTTTCTTCAAGGTCTGTTTCTGTATATAGCATGTCATCCGCTGATATATTACTGGATATAAGTGAAATGGCTAATATCAGCTCATTTTACCAGCTTAGATTATATAACAGTTGGAAAAAAATGCTCCTGGATTTTTTCCCCACTAAGAATCCCATTCAGCCACGCTACATCTCCTACATTACAAATCAAGTCCAGGTACACTTAAGCAGTTAAAGCGTGTTTCTTTTGAAAGACCACACTAGAATAGTCTTTTCAGTTCACTATCTGCTCTGTGTTTGTCCAAATGTACCAACAGATTCCCAGTCCTGGACAGAGGTTTGACACTCAGCTTGTAAGAGTCCTCAAAAACCAAACGACGCTTTCCCATTGTCACAGAACAAACAAGTTAAAAGAAGACTGTTTATCACGTTTCTGACCCAGACCAAATCTGTTCTGTTGAGATATGCTCAGGACCATTGCACTCACATATAAAAGATGTGTCAAGGCACGTAACAAAAGAAAAAAAAGAGGGAAAAAAACTCCAATGTGTAAGTAACAGCATTCTTTGTACATTTGCTTACATTTAATATTTAATTTGACCATGTCCTGAAAAGTGAATTGTATCTTTAGGGGCTTAAAATTCACTACTTCTGTGAAGCTTAAGAAAAAATATAGACATTAAAAAGCGTAAGAACAAAAAAGCATCGTAAGAGAGACAGATGGGAAAAAGAAGAGGATACTATTAAAGGTCCAAATAAAGCAAATTAAAAGAAATGAAAGAAGGTTTTTTTTTTTAATAGGAAATTATTTGAGAGACACATTATCCACAGGGCAGTAAAATGATTCATTATCTCTAATCTGATTATAATGTTGTTACTTGTGGCAACATTGTCCTGGTTTTGACTGGGATAGAGTTAATTTTCTTCCTAGAAGCTGGCATAGTGCTGTGCTTTGGTTTTAGCATGAGAAGAATGTTGATAACACACTGACGGTTTAGTTGTTGCTGAGCAGTGCTTACACCAGTCAAGGACTTTTCAGCTTCCCCTGCTCTTCCAGGTGTACAAGAAGCTGGGAGGGGGCACAGCCAGGACAGCTGACCCCAACTGGCCAAAGGGCTATTCCAGACCAAATGACATCATGCTTAGTATATAAACTGGGGGAAATCTGGCTGGGGGGCAGCAATCGCTGCTCAGGGATGGGATGGGCATCGTTTGGCAGGTGGTAAGCAATTCCACTGTGCATCACTTGTTTTGTATATTCTTTTATCATCGTCATAATTATTATTTTCTCTTCCTCTGCTGTCCTATTAAACCATCTTTATGTCAACCCACAGCTTTTACTTCTTTTTCCCCCCCGATTCTCTCCCCCATCCCACCGGGGTGGGTGGCGGGCGAGCGAGCGGCTGTGTGGTGCTTAGTTGCCAGCTGTGGTTAAACTACGACAAACATCCAGGTTCATCCAGCCACCTTTGGTGGCTTCATCTTAAGTTTCCCACTGGGTACATATGTGAAACAGTTAAGGAGTGGAAGAGACAACCCATGTGTCATCTTACCTGACTTTGACATAGTCTGAAAGAAGCCATCTGTAAATAGCTTTTGTGGCATGAGTCATAAACGTCCTCCCTTTAAAACTGGTTTTCTGCAAAAACCATGGTAAAGCCCCACAGTGATCTAAATGGAAACTTAAAATAGACACAGAAATCCAATTAATACGTTAATATTACACAACACTAATATAGAATATATGTCATGTAATTCACAACTTCACTGGATTAACGTAGCATCACGAAAATCCAGAAACTGAATTTTCAACCTTGTTGTTAGCTACGCTGGTCTATATTCTGTATATTAGTGACTAGAAACATAACCAAGAACAGGTAAGAATAATACAGGAAATTCTCCATTAATTGCAAAAGTTTTACCCCTATAATCTCAGAATTAACTTTTCTGTAATTTACATATAAATTTAGGCAGAGAAAAATAACAGGAACCAGGAACACAATAAACATCTAAGATACAAGAAAGCTAACAAACGTGATCCTAAGTTTGCATGTAGGACATTATGGATTAAAATGTAATAAAATAATCTTATTTGGCTGCATTTCTAATGTTACCTACCTTAAGGAAGTACATTTAGAAATGGCTCTCCTTGTCCCTCTGCCACTAAGCAGTATTTAAATGACATTCAAGCTTGCATAAGTCTCTGAGAACCTTTTTCATTCAAAGCCAACAGCGCAAAAACCACAGCCAATACTTTTCAGCAGTCTTTATGTAGAAAACTCATTCTAGAAGCTGTCACAATGGTGTTAAAGCAGGCCAGGTTATAAAAAAGTCAGACATCACAGCGAGCTCCAAGGAGAGTTGTAATGTCAAAAGTGGTGGAACATCCTTAAATCAAAAAAAGTTGGAAACCAAAATTTTGCCGTGCCATTATCATCTATGTAACACCTATTTTCAGCCTCTACTACCAGCCTACAAGTCAACACAGCTCAGACCATGACCTCAGTATATTTGTTCTTTTAGATGCCACTTACTGACTAATTAGGAGGAGATCAATCTCAGCAGGATCTATCAAATCAATGTAAGGAAGAGCATCCATTCCTTCCAGTCCAGGATGGATTCCACAGTCAAGCTGAAAAATGAAAGAAGGTTAAAGCTTCTAACAGAACGCATAAAAAACTCTCTTCCATTTTGGTCTAAAATAGTTACTAGTGACTAGTAACTTTTAGCATCATACAAAAAAAGTATTTTTTCCATAAACACTGCTTTTAGCATTGGATTTCACATCTCAGGCTTCTGTCTAGGTGACTTATCTCCACTGGGAATCTGAACACCTTTCAAAAGATCCCAGTCTTTCTTTACAGTTTTGTACCTATGCAAGCCTTCATACACACTTCAACAATACCTGAATATACAGAGCCAGTGTATGCAAGTTATTTCAGCCATCACCTGAGAAGACAGATGGAAAAGGGATTTAAAGAGAACATGTATGTGTTTACATGTGACTGTTTACACATAACTGTAGGTAAACATTGGCCTTAGGTTCCACTGAAACCTAATATGTGTAAATTTTAGATTCTACACATAAGACACATACATTCTGTTTGGGGATATGGATTTATTTTAAAGGGCAGCCTCTGTAGTGCCCACTATCACATATGCTACATTGTTCCAGAAAGCTACAAACTCTGCCTCCTCTAGCACAGTGGCCAACTGCAATGAGGAGGCTGAATTCAACTGGTAATATCTTTCTGTGATCTGAAGTACCATAATGAGAGGGCATACAAATACATTCACACAATAATTACCATTATTTTTCTTCCTTTAAACTCCAGAATAATGCACGATCTTCCTACTTCTTGGCCAGCACCTCTGCAAAAGGATAGCAAAGTCATCAAAATTAAAACAACCCACAAGGTATAGATGTAACCATATACTGGATGCCTTTAGTGGATTATTTTTCTGTGTAGAAATGATGACAGCACAGTCCTTTTAAGCTCAGGTATTTAAAGGAACTGAATAGTTAGATTTATCTCAATGGAAAGTAGATCCTATATAACACTGCAGGAGTAAAAAGAGTCTGTTTTGGGAAACGATTTTGGTCTCTTCTTGGTTTTACTGCATGCCCGCACACTCAGCTCCTAAAATGACACAATGAAGTGAAAGTTTAATTAAATAACAAATTAGTTTGGGCTGAAAAAACTGAAGCAGCATCAAGTTGTCCGGAAGTCGGCTCTTGCGATGCTACCAGAAACACCTTCAAATTGCATTGGCGTCTTTACCAGAGAAACAAATTCAACTCAGAATATTACAAAACACACGATGCGACTGACGTACAAAAGGGCAAAAAAGAAGATTTTGCTCAGACAAGACTTCAATATCATAGAATCATAGAATCGCTTTGGTTGGAAAAGACCTTTAAG